TCCAATTTAAGAAACCGACTTCCAAATTCTTCGCTTCTCTTTATATGTGTTAATATTTAAATATATACATGTGACTCAATAGGCTTCTAGATATGTTGACAATGTATCGAGAAGTAAAAGACACTTCTTTTATCTCTCGATCCATAAATCAAGATTGGCTTCTAGCGAGACATCATAACTATCTAATTATTTATAAGGATTAACTAATCCGCCATAATCTTTCACGAGTATGGTTTTCATACAATTCAATTCTTATGTCAATTTATTATAGTGTAATCTCAAACTTAGTTTGTTGTCTATTCGATTATGATCACACAAGTTTTCTTTGATATCCAAATGTCTTAGCTCTCAAGTAAACCAATCATTCTCTATTGGTAAACTCTCAAGTAAACCAATCATTCTCTATTGGTATACTTCCATTGTGACCATATATTTTTTCGTAGACATTTATCAAAGTGCAATGTGATAACTCCTTTAGTATATAAAGAATGACATGTCCTATCTCAATTATCCATTTATCTTCATTAGATTTCGATGCACCCAATAAACCACCCATATGCAGCTCTTTATTGAGCCAATCGAAACAAATGTCAAAGTACATTAATCCTCTAATGAGATAATATCTATGATGATTTCAAGTCAAATGACTACTTGTACCCCATCTCATATGAGATTCTTATAGACTATACCAAATAAGCTCTCATCACGTCCGAGTGATATGCTCTCTAATATTATTCACTCGTGTGTTTGCTTTGATATCACCATGTCGGTAGGTGTGAGATCTCATATTTCTATCTTATAGCCGAGCATAGCACTTATAAATCTTATCGCAAATTGTCACTCGTTCATTAACAATATTATGACTTAGGACATGTAATGATATCATTTATGTGCATTAATGTTTGTCTCACATCTATTGAACAATCATCAAGGTAATGCATATCATATGAACTTCTATCTAATTCTATCAAATTATAAATAACATGAATCAATTGGGAATTTTTTTTATTAATATTGAAATTGCAATGATATAATATTTCAAATCATCTAAACGAGTTGGATCTTCGACACCTACATTAACATCATTATTACCGAAAACGTCACCTACACAAAATTCAACGGATCCAAAATGCATAACAAACATATAAAACATACATAATAGACAAAATGATAAAATTTACAGTTAATTAGCAATTTTCAGTACAAATAAAATTAAATATTAACCAATTAATCAAAATTATCCTAATTGATTAATTAAAACCTAATCAAATTAACCTAATTAATTATAATTCAAACCTAATTAATTTTAAACCTAAATCAAATTAATCCTAATGCAAAGCTAATTAAATTTAACTAATAATTAAGTAACCATTTCCAATACAAATAAAAATAAAAATCAACCAATTAATCAAATTTAACTTAATTAATTAAACCTAAATTAAATTCATCCTAATTCAATCCTAATTAAATTTAACTAACAATTAATTAAAAATTTACAATATTAATAAAATTAAAAATCAACCAATTAATCAAATTTAAACTAATTAATTAATCAAACCTAAAATTAACCTAATTAATTGTAATTCAAACCTAATTAATTGAAACCTAATTCATGCCTAATTAAATTTAACCAAAAATAAATTGATAATTTTTTATATAAATAAAATTAAAAATCAACCAATCAAATTTAACCTAATTAATTTATTAAACGTAAGTCAAATTAACCCAATTAATTCTAATTCAAACTTAATTAAATTTAAATCTAAATCAAATTAATCCTAATTAAAACCTAATCAAATTTAACTAATAATTAATTAACAATTTTCAATATAAATAAACTTAAAAATCAATCAATTAATCAAAATTAACCTAATTAATTAATTAAACCTAAATCAAACTAACAATTAATTAACAAATTAACCTAACAATTAAAAAAATAATTTAAAAAATTAATGAACAAATTAAAAATTAAAACCATGCAAAATTAATCAAAATTAACAAATTACTCAACAAATTAACAATTAATCAAATTTAACCCAATTACTTTATTAAACCTAAAACAAACTAACAATTACTTAACAAATTAACAAAAAAATAACAATTTAACAATGAAAGAGGCTTTTTTGGCACCCAACTTTTGAGCTTTTTTTTTTTTTTCTACTATTTTGATGCCCAATTGTTGATTTCTCTTGATTTGCTATGCTTCTTTGATTTTTTTATTTGTTTTGGTGTCCAAGTTCACATGAGTTCTAATTTTGTTAATGTGTCCGACAAAATCTGTCATGTGACGGTAAAAAAAATCCTACGTGACGATCAACTCAATCACGTCGGTATCCCTTACTCTCGGATAGTTTTGAGCACTCAAATAGGGGAAAAAAAAATTAAAGGTTAGGAATTTAAACAAAAAAAATTAAAGATTGATCATCTAAATAGAAAAAAAAATATTAATGGTTGGACACCAAAAATATAGTTTTCTCAAGAAATTTAGTTTATTTTTATCATACCAAATATCTATCATCTTCTTGTAGTCTAATACATCTTTTTGTTATTATTATTAACAGATTTCACGTATTTCTTGTACTTCCATAATATATATTTAATCTTAATCAAAATTAACCTAATTAATTAATTAAACCTAAATCAAACTAACCATTAACACAAAATGACAATTTAACAAGTTAATCAACAAATTAACAATTAATCAAATTTAACCTAATTAATTAATTAAACCTATATCAAACCAATCAATTAATCAAAATTAACTTAATTAATTAAAGCTAAATCAAACAATAATTAATTAAGAAATTAACCTAACAATTAATAAAAACAATAATTTAACAAATTAATTAATAAATTAACAATTAAAACTTTACAAAATTATAAATCAACCAATTAAATTTAAAACTAACCTAACAATTATAAAAATAACTAACTTTTAAGGAACGAAAAAGAGAGAGAACTTGCTTAATTTGGATTTGAAGAGAAGGAGAAAAATGAAGGAAAAGTGGGGGTTTTAGGGAGAAAAGAGTTTGGAGTGGGTATGGATTGATGAGGAGTAAAGGAGTGGAGTTTTTCATTGGTTTTGGGTGGGGGAAGAGTCGGCGGCTAGAGAGTAGAAGGTTGGAAGAAGAAGAAGATAGGGGAAGAACAAGGAAAATTGGGGCTTAATAACGAATTCAAACTAGCGACGGATACGATCTCATTGCTAGTTTGTCGCTATTTAGCAACGGATGTAAGTGTCCATCACTAATTCTTCGTAAAATGAGTAGTTATTTAATTCTAGAAGGTCGCCTATTTTTTTACAACCGAGCGTCGAAAACGTTTTCATCATCGATTAGTCATTATTTAGAGACAAAAATTAAGTTTTCGTAGCTATTCTATCGTCAAATAGGCAATTTTTTTTATTTCAAAAGGCCGCTCATTTTTTTTAAGTTTAGCAATGAATTTACTACTTTAGCGACGAATATTCCATCATTAAAGCAAAATATTAAATTAAAAAAGCAATGGAATAGTATCTTGTCATTGATTTTCGTAGCAATTCTGTTGCAAACTCGTCTCGACAACTTGAAAGATTTTAGTGCCACCAATAGTGACAAAATATCATCCTTCATTAAATCATACGGATGCTATTTAGTTGCTATTTACTCATTTTTTTAGTGACGGATTATATTCTGTTGCTAAAATCCATTGTTATTTTTTAGTTTTCTTACGGTGGTTTTTTTTTTTAGAATATCAAAGTATAAAATTACTATCTCTTGATAAAAATCTGTTTGGCTTTGCTTCGCAATCCAATTTCTATACCAAGTCTCTTACTATTGCTAATTACTAAGCAATAGGTTCATTCGTTTTCTGAAGTAGTTAACTTCATAGTGAAAATTAATTAACCATTTAACAAAAGATCAATAGATATGTAGGATAGTCCGGCCCACATGTGACTTGAGAATATTAGATGGAATAAGATGAATGTCCAAATTGTTTTGAAGCTTTTCTTTTTTCTCTTATATATATATATATATATATATATATATATATATATATATATATATATTTAACAATTAGTAGATGGTATTTCCATTGGGATATGCAGTTAAATCGTAAATATGATTTTGATTATATTTTTATTTGGAAGACAAATGAATTTGTATTTACAGCAACGTAATTCTTTACAATTGAGATGTATAAAACTATACACAAGTTATTCAAAATGTTATCTCTTATAGTTTTTTTTATATTTTCAGAGTTTTTTTCCTGTAAATATTCAGGAGTTCAAATTTCACAATTTTATTTTTTTCTTTTAATGAAAATTAATAACACAAAATAAGGTGAATATGTCTTTCAATTGGAATTTACATCAAATCAAGCTGGACAATATTATTTCGAGGATATCATTTTTTATGTTGTTTATTTATGAAATATTGAACCTAAATTAAACAATATCATTTACCTAAAAGCCGGCCAAACATATCACCAAAACCCACCGATTACCCTCCTATTCGCTGTTTTTGATCTTCTTCTTTCACTTCGCGGCTGATAAGAACCTTAAAGTCCAACTCCGAAAGCTTACTTGCTTTATTGGAAGTTGGAACCTCAAATCTGCTTTGTTGGCTGTCTGTTGAGGCAGAAATAAAACCCTTGTCCCTTGACATATGCCTGACGACATGCTTAGGGCGTGTAATGTTTAATTATCAGGTAAAATAAAAGAGATAAAATTCTATTCTATCCATGTGAAAAAAAAATCCGTAGAAATTGTAAAAAAAATAACAACAGAGAGATAGTAATGAAAGGGCTAGTGACAAGGGTAGAAGCAACTCTTTCATCTGGAAAGCTTTTGTAATTTCATGGTAGCTCCCACCCACCCTAATTCCTTCGTAGACCTTGAAATAGCCATATGCAACACTGAGCTTGGACTTCAGTGTTCAATAGCGAGTTATAAGGGGTCGGGCTTTTTATTTTTAAATTTTTTTATTCCAATTTCTTGATTTGTTCTTTTTAAAAAACAGATCAGTTACTCGGCATGATAATTATGTTTTCTGAGCGTCTTATCAGATGTTGTGGTACATTGAAACGATACCCTGATGTTATTGTTTCCAAAAAAAGAAAAAAGAAAAAAGCAATAATAATAATTATGTTCTGTTAAATTTTTTTGGTCTGTAATATGTGTCTTGCTCAATTAATTTATACTTAATAATCTCATCTTTTTTTTTTTAACAATAATCTATATATAAAAAAATCCTATATATTAAGTGAGTGAATAATACTATTGAATGTCTAGTTCATTCAAGAAAATTTTTCGATAAACTTTTTTCTCAAACAAAAAAAATATGTATATTAATAAATTAATTATACATTCGACAAAAATATTACATTTTTGATATATACATATTTGAAGAACCCCACGGTACTTAAAAGGTTATGATATATACTTGTATAAGTGAAATTAAATTTCATAATCTTAGATAAATAAATCTCTAACAACACAGAAGCTTTTTTTTATTTTTTATTGACTTTGGGTGTTAGGATATGTTTTTTTTTTTTAATCTTCCTTTGAACGTTACATTATCCTTTGTCAGCTCATTATTATATAGTAATACATGAAGTGATGTTTGATGTTGGCTTCCTACTATATATCTTAATTTATTTTGTGGAATATGTCAAAAAGTTTGTGAGGAAACTTTCTCAAGTAGCAGTCAATCTGCTTCACTTCCCTACGAAAATTTCCATGTCAATATGTCTACACATCCTAAGCAAAAATAAGAATACCTTATTAGTGAAGGATTTTGAAGAATGTGAATACTGAAATGCTACGTTGACCACATGCTCATATATAAATGCTAATCGCTATCTCAAGCACAAATAGCATCTCTATCAAGTTCAACCCTTTAGGTCATCAACTTTGACAAAGCCCTTAGCCCTTTAGCCTCCAACACGAAAATAAACGAAAAGAGAAAAGTTAATTTATCCGTTGTAATTTATTTACTATTTTTTTTGGTGTCCATGTCCGTTGTAATTCGGAGAAGTGTAAACAAAGCAAGTGCTAGATTGGATTGGACGTTAGAGGGTTAGGATGAGCTCTCCACTGCCCAGCTCTCTTTTAGGCTGGGCTCGGATTAGATTGTTTAGGCCTAAAATCAAAGAAGTGGAGACGCAGTTACGAATCAAGACTTGCCGAATCATGCTATCATAGAAAGTGAAGCGTATCAATGGGTTTATGGACCGAGGATATGTTCCCAATAGGATACAGCGATGAAGCATTAGAGATTGTGATAAGTAGGCCTAGAAAAATGAAATAGAGCTGAGATAGAGCCTTTTAAGGAGTCCAGAGGCAGAAAGCTCTTTGCAAGAGGAAAATCGATGGATCAGGTAGAGCAATCAAAGAGTGTCCCGCTGTGGAATAATATTGCCGGTGAGTGGGAGACTTTGCTGTCAAAAACAAAATAAAATAGATGATGATATTCAAATGTCAATTGAGGCTTAATTAACAAAATTTTCCTGATGTTTTTTCCTTTCTTGTTTCTAAGAATGAAGGCAAATTTCATTAATGAAACCTGCAGCACTACAAGGTTAGAACCAAAAGATGAAGCTGCAAAACACCTAAATCCACACAAATCACAACATATGACAAAAACAAGAACGGGCCAGTACAACATAATACCTTGGAATCCCCCATCTCCTACAAATCAATTGGTTAACATCCGTTGAAGCTTGTTTTTGCAGAGATTTGACAGCAGATATCTTCATTTTAACATGTGAACATAAAGAGTGCACAATACTTCCAGCGCTTGAAAATGCTCCCATGAAGCCTGTTTTTCCTTCTAGTCCAGTTTTGATTGGAGTACTTAATTTTCTTACAAAATTTGTTTTACTATGTGATCTGGAATTTGTTATAATTTTTTTTTTCAAATCATGCAATACTTTATCTTATAATATTTAGTGATGCAATGATAATTATAATGTATATTAATCAATAAATCACCAATTATATAATTCCATATTATTTTGTAAAATAATCTTAATAAAAAATCAAGTATTTATCACGTTATAATCTCCAAAGAAAGCAGGATTTCGGATATGAAAAGCATAAGCATAATTACTGGTGATTTTACTGCCCAAAGTATTTGGGACCCATTTTGTTTTATGATATCATTCTCAAATTCGAGTGCAACCCAAGAAGAGAAATAAGGTTTGTGTAGTGCTTTAGGCTTGAGCGTAGACTGTCATATGCAAAATTCTTCGTCTCAGTCCATGAGGAGCTACAAGTCTAAGAGATAGACCAGTCTTCAGAAACAGATTTATTCTTTTAAACCTTGGAATCTCCTATTCACACCGGATGATTATGGACCGACACCTACCCATTAATTCAACTTTTTATCCTACTTCTTACTTCTTAAAAAAAAAAAAAAAAAAAAAAAAAAAAAAAAAAAACCTTATTCATTTCTATTGAAAAATCACTTTATGAATTAACCTAACCCGTATTAGGTTTAACCGTCTTTTAAGTATTCATTTAATATCCATTAAAAATAAGTTATCAAAATATTTTATTTTATTCTTTATAATTCTTACAAAGTTTTTTTCCTAAAATTAAATTTCCCCACCTTTTGGTCATTTATTTATTATTTTTTGCTCCTTAAAGTTTTCAAAAAAAATATTTTAGTCTCTTATTTTTAAAGTTTATGTAATTAAATTATTATATGTTAAAAAAATTTAAAATAAATTAGTCGTTATTATTAGGATATAGAGTGGATATCCATATACTAAAACTTTATTAGCGAGTATATACATATATTACTCTTATCTATTTCAATAAACATTGAAATTTTTTAATAATGAGTATTTATTGAGTGAGATGGAGCAAGTGTCTGCTTCATACTCTATCTATAATCGTTCCTACCCTTAACCTTATTGCCTTTAACAAACTTCTCTTATATATTTTTTAAATTGAGGAATCTGATTTGAACCTTTCAAGTATAGAGTGGATAAAGATAAAGTTGAGAAATTATAAATTAGTCCCTCTCATTTTCAAAACAAATTAATTAATCTCTTCTTTTTAAAAAACTAATCATTTAATTCATTTCATTTTAATAAACTTAATAATTCAGTTATTTCATTAGTTTCTCATTAAATTAGTGATTTTTGTTCCTACATTACCCTTTTTTTTTTTGCTAGAGAGAGAGAAAGAGAGTGGATGAAAAAGAGAAATAAGGCATAAGAATAATAATTAAAAAAAATATTAATCTAACAAAAAACTGATGAAATGACTAAATTATTGACATAATTAAAATATAAGAAACTAAATACTAATTTTAACTATACATCTATGAATAGGGGATGTTGTCTGAATATCTATGGGACCTAAATCATCAATAGTTTCTCCAAGCACATTGACAATTAATCAAAGGTACAAAGAAAAAAGCTATACTGGTAAGAGAATTTTACCAAATCTATTGTAATAGATCAAAGTTTAACTAGAAATAAAGACAAAAATAATTGTGATTCACTTGTTTTTGAAAACCTTTTATCCTATAAACGTCATAGAGAATTAAGAACTCTAATTTCTTTCAATTCAAAAAATAAAAATGATATAAATACAGAAATTATTAATTCATTTCTTAAAACAAGAGGGACCAATTTATAATTTACTCAGATATATATATATATTTTTTCCTGGAAAACTAGCCGACTACATAACCAACTAGGCCTAGTTATCACTTGAATTAGGGCCCTAATGTCCCGGCAGACCCGGCTTGCACCAACCAAGTTTGCTTCCTAGTTACCCTAAAATACTAGCCTCTTCAGGTACTCTTACGAGTTTTTTGCTGGATTTTTGCTATAATAAATTACAACCAAGTCATCGGACTGGTTTATCATATGGATTGAAACATCGCACGACAAACTCCCTCTTTTCATAACCTTATCAAGCTAGTCTTGTAGTCCAATCAATCAAGGAAACACTCGAAAGAGGGAAAAGGCACATATGGGCTTTGGGCTGACTTGCCAAAAATTGCAAGGACAGGAATTTGGGTGGCTTTTAGTTGTGCTGGTTCAATTACTTTTTACAATTCTCTGTGCATAATGTAAATGCTGATTTAATTTTAACCAAAATGGAGTTAATTAAAATCTACGCATAAAGGAAATAAAATGCATTCATATTGATATTGTGTTACTCTCACTCTACCAAATGTTAATCCCACTTCACAATATTTGCAGGTAATTACCAAACTAACCATGTTTTATGTTTTCCTTTTAACTACAATCTCAGGCGAATCTTGAAATTTAAAGTTATAAATAAACGTTATTAATATTTTGAATAAAATGAAAATAGTTCTTTTATTTTATGATCACATAAATAAGTTTTTACGTACTTTACTTATTAAATTTGATTATATAATTAACTTGCTATTCTATTGATAGTTTTGTAGTTAAGAGATATCATGGTGCGGTTGAATTAAAAGGGGGAAAAAAAAACACAACATGATTGCGTAACAATATTTACATGTAAATTATTATGACATGGAATATTCACAAATGATGGTATATAATATGAAATTCAAACAATTTATTACTATTAATTAATAAATTGTAAAAACTTTAAAGCTAATAATGAAAAACTAAATCTTACTAATAAATTTGTTAGCCTATTGGTAAATGAACTAGTTCTTATGTAAATTTTTTTTACCAATATAGGATTCGAGCTTCGAAATTGTATTTATTGTTTTCGTTTCAAATATAATTAATTTTATTTATAATGTGGGATGAAGATATATAGATTTCTTTTAAAAATGAAATCTTAATCATAATTAAAGGTGGCGAGATACTCTTAAAGAATGTGTCTAGATAAAATGGAAGCTAGTTTACGATTTCATGGAAGTATGAATGGGATTAATAGTTGGTGGAGTTGGAATGACTGCCACAAATTGGTGTTTGGTACAGTGACAAAAAATTTTATAACCAACAAAAGGTATAAATGTTCGTACCTTTTCAGATTTTGTCTTCCATCCTATATATACTCCTACATGCATTAGTCCTTTATACACTTCTTTTTGTTTGTGTGTGTGCGATTTTCTTCCTCGATGTAGTAGTTGTTGTAAAAGGAAGAAGTAAATGTACCAAAAACACTAATATGGAATATTATTTCTTTAAACAATCAAATGCTCCAACCTAAGTTAATATTGCAACATTATGGCGGAGCAGATCATCAATTACTGTTCTGATCAATGAAATGTGTTTTTCCCACTTGATTATGACACAAAACATTTACTAAGCATGTATAATTAGTTGTCATTCAGATGAATGGAATATTACATCCACTTGATTCGGTTAAATGGTAATAGCACTAACTTAATCAGGATCGGTTGCTGCTGCCTTTGCATCCACCATTTGGATAGCGATGTTTTATGAGCTTTTAAAAGATAGCTAATTAATAATGAGTAACCATGCACTAGCATTGCACAAGGCTTTGCTTTACATAATTGATTCACTTTATGGAACTTTTCAGATTCTGTAGAGAATTTCGGCAACCTAAATGAAGTTAAAAAGGATTTGCACTAAGAGAAAAGGAACTCAATGCAAAGCACTAAAAGAAAAAGAAAGGCCAAAAGCACAGTCCAAGGTTCATTGTTCATAATAAAAAATGATGACGGCCAAGCTTGCAACTATAAAATGAGTATTAATTAATTTTCTGTCACACAGCTCAATGGGAAGACCATATCCATTCTTTTAAAATTCCCTGCATATGGATTAAGCTCTGCTAGCTTTCATTGCATTGATTTCACCTTTTAATTTTGTGTATATATATATGATGTATTCACCTTGCATGTTCTCTTTGATTTATTGAGATATATATTCTCGCCATGAAAAAGAATAGCTATATATCTTTTAGCCTTTGTGTGCCTCCAAATGGGAATGAGCCTACCATAACTAAAGTAATTACCTAATAAATTTATATATTTTGTTGTGCATGCGGAACCATGATCTTGAAGCAAAACCAATGGCCAGGACTAAGTTTTTCTTGGTAATTTGTCAACGGAAAGCAGACTACATGAAATTAAATAATTAAAACACTAAATGCTTGGCCTTGTTGTGTCCCTGTTACAACAAAATTTTGGAGGATCAAACAAAGAAGAAGGTTAGATAATCGTATGCATTTGCAATATATCTCACAAAATCAATTAATCAAAGTAGCATTATATAAAAAATGAAAACGTATGGAAGCTCAAAAAAAAAAAAAAAACAATCAAAAGCGACACTTTGACAGGGAGTAACACTACATTCTGAACCTCAGAAAGAAACTTTCAGAAGGGGTGGACTTGAATGTATAACCAGCTCAAGAATCTCTTTATTTGACAATAAAAAGGAAAACGAAAATATTGTTTGATCAAGAGAATGTATATATATATATCTTCGAAAGTTCACCAAACATGCATTTGTAGCCTTTACTTAGTAGACAGTAACAGACAATAAATCACTAACTAAATAAATAACAAAGAATTATTCAACATGTACGATTTAGAACGACCAAGTACCAAAGGACATAAGCAATAGTATATCCATGACTAAAGCATGCCTTTTACATTTAAAAAAAGAACGATCAGTTGCATGTATCCTTTGATCGGGTCATATGTTACTTCCTTTTTATAGTATAAACAGATTAATTATTCAAAAGTGCCGTCCTTGATGGTAGCAATTCTGTACTCTAAACGAAT